CACGCAATAATTCAGATCTGAACTGTTGTGAAGCCAACAAAGTATATTGTCAACTTACTTCTTGCAGGTGTGGTAACATTAGTTTGTGCGACATGTCCACGTGTATAAGAAGAACAGTGCAGGTGACAAACAGGATCCTTGTGAGACCATTCGCGTTTTCACGCGAGCCGTAGATTCTTTCTTGCTCATATGAACAAACTTGCGAATGTCGCGAAATAGCCAGCAGGTTGACAGTGTGCGACTCCACACCGGTGCTGGTCAAGGTATGACCAACTGAGCTCTAGGCAGCATGACGTGAGTTAAGCTACAGTCCAAAAAATTGCTCTATAGTAATGCTTGTCCGTCGTCGAACTTGCTTGCTTACACTGGTGTTAGCAGGTCCACAGCGAACATATAGAGAATACTGCTTCCCCGCACATATCCGAATTGCCAGGAATAGACATGTTCCAACGGAGCGAGACGATTCTTTATTAGCATTCAATTAAACTCATGAAAATTAGTCACTGTAGTGGGTCTCCAGCCAGATACTGTAGACTGTCCAGGAGATTTCGAGATGGAAGTTATTCGCACTATCTGCCATGAATCCGGCACTACATCTGCTGGTCTAGAGCAGCTGCGGAGTCCAGCATAGACTTCAGAAAGTGAATTGCCCCATGCTTTAAAGTCATGGGATCTATGTTGTCTGATCCTGCAGTCTTGAAACCTTGTATAAATTGGGGATGTTTTCGTTAGCTAATTCATAAACCTGTTAAAAATTGTCGTTACGTGAATCACTGAATCACCTTAACTGTGTTTTATAGCCAGCGGAGCCACTTCTTCCTGTTTCACGGATAAGCTGAACCAGCTAGTAGAGATGGGCATTTCTAAGGTAGGCTACTATTGACTTTATTTTCTTATGTTTGAGAACTTCCTCTCTTTAACAGTTAATGTCTTTGCATGGAACTAGCTGCTGCAAATTCTCTATCCATGATTTGAGTTAAAAGTACGTTAAATGGGAGATGGCAATTATTTTTACAGTGATCGTGGCATCCTCAGATAAATGGTAGCAATCTCTCGTACTGTTCTGACCGTAACGGTTCAGCAAGAATGTTCTTTTTTCTGGGATCCAGATGTCAGGGTTCTTCCAGTGTGCTGCTTCTCTACTCTACCACTGATTTTCTTCTAGAAGATTTGCAGCCAGAGTTCAACGGAGTAAAACGAATGGCTACAATTACTGATCAATAATTACTTCAAGTTCTGTTTTACTGGAAGAAAAGAACTAAGAATTTCCTGGCGAAATGTTTTCGTCAGACAAGTTACAAAACTGACTGATGGAAAAAATCAGGGAATGTCTTTACCCTTTGGTTCTTCGCACAACCTTGTTAACTTCTGTTGTGCGGATTAATTCGTTTATCAATTATTTTAAGTGTTTCATATTTTAACTTTCAGTCATAAATGTGTGATGAGAATTTTTGTTGAAAGACGTTGTAATTTTCGACTGACCCCGTCTTTCTTTACCTGTTTGTGAAAACTGAAGCAAAGAATAGGTGATTTTCTGTCTACGCAGGCAAAAATATGGAACTAGATCCAGCTAGAATGTAAATTAACTATAATGGATAACAAACTGTAAGTAACTCTACGAAGAGCTGCCCTCATTTACTGCACTGGCTTAACCGGTCAAAGTGTATCATCACTTGGCGACTGAGCATCATCACTTGAAGGATGACCTGGTTCATCCTTTGACAATGATCAGTATCTAGAAGAGACTACGATCTCTGCCAAAATCACCGCCGGTGTTTAAAGTAGCGTTGAAGTGATCAAGGGCAAATGAAACATGCAAAATGCAGCTGCATGTACCGCCCAAGTCGAAGCTTTCCGCAAGAACACAGTATCATGCCAACCACAGAATTACTATAGACCTACTGAGTTTCTCCCCAAGTAACCCTTACCCGACGCCGATATTCCCGTCCTTAAAAATAGAAGTCTTCTAACGGTACTTCTAGAGCAAGAAACCATAGCCTACATCTGTGAACGTTCTCTCTGCTGTATCTGCCGAAGCTGTCATCGCTGTAAAAGGCGATCTCTACAGTGGGACGTGCCTGGGACAAAAGACAGCGCTTCTGGTATGCCAACTACATCTTTCTATAAGACATCCTGGATACACCACGTCTAAAAAAATGTGATCTGTTCTGTGCGAATTACTCGATTACCTGCCTGAGAAATCTGGATACGAACTTGCCAGAAACCCCAAAAACCGATCAATTCCCTTCGCTGACAACTTGGTCCTGCTATCGGAGCCAAAGCCAGGGATGAATGAAATGCTGAAAGTGGCCCTTTATTTTCTCAGACGTCACTAAAGCTGAACAATACAAAATCCTGTTGCTTGAGGCTGTGCGCCGTCCCACACACAAAAGCCTTTGACTGGATAC